ACAAGCACATGCTTTGCTATCAGAATCAAGAGGCTCGTGTGAAAGTCCACGCAGAAGCCCAGATCTGCAAAGGTATTTAGAAGCCTGAGCTTCCACTGGAGTCAGTGGGACCTAAAGTGCTACTACTCTGGCATAGGTGCAGGAGGTATGTCAGGGTTCATTAAGCATATAAAATGCTGAAAATAGAGTTGGATGCCCTCTGCAGTCTTTTGGAGGGTGTGGAATGATTCTTAGCTGGCATCAGTTCCAGATATTCTTTGGGGAAACTTATGGCTAATCTGATTTGCAAGATATCCATTTCCTGCTATAAAAACAGAAAAGACCTAAAATAGGGTTTAGAATTTGCCTCCTTTCCCAAAGTGCCACCAAGTATGCTTTCAGTAGAACTCATGCATGATTCACAGATGCACAACTATCTACCATTAAAGTAGCTTAAAATTACTAGTTTTTCACAGTACATTTTGATGAAAAATTTGGTCCCCTTTCCCTTCGCTATTTAAGTCAGTGGTCGATGTTAAATATTGCTTGTTTGTTATTGACATACAATTACTGCTGTTGTTATTGACATTTCTCCTGTTTGATGAGCAAGGGAAAAGATTAGGAGACAGTGGTAATATTTAGACTACATCACATGCTGTTAAAATGTTTTTCTTTTGCTTTGTAGGATATCCAAAGGCATCTTCCCCTTCCTCAGCCTCACAAGGTAATCCAGTTGTTATCTAGGAATTCTTTGAACAATTATTCACTTACCTTAGCAATAAAAAAATTAGCAGAATAAAATTGAAGAGCAAGAACTTTTAGGGCATAGGCACAGTTCTGACCTGTTAATGCTGGGAAGATACACCCAGACCAGGGATGATAGCCTTTTTTATTCAAACTGACACTTGCATCCTCATTCAGCGTGGGACTCAGAGCATGTACAATATTAGCAGTAGAACATATTTAATAATTACTGCATTTTAATTCTTGCATGCTTTCTGGTTTTTACATCCCTGAAGTTTGTTTCAAACTTTTCACTGCAG